AAGAGTCCATATTTGGGTGAATCGTATATCCACGGAGATTTTTGGCTTTTTTGCGTTCAAATATCACTAGAAATGAAAATTTTTCTATGCGCATAAAAAAAACGTGGGCTTAACTTCTGGCGGCATAAAATGTTTAAAAAATTCGAAAAATGTCATATTTTTCTTCCTATTTAATTATGTATCTTTTCAAGAGTTGATTTTAGGCGAAAATGGAAGAGGAAAAAACGTGTGTAATTAGATTTTACAAAATACAAATCGAATGAATCATGATTATTAATGTAAAAATCGTCAAAAATGGGGTTGAAAAACATTACTTTTTAGGGAATTTTTTTGGGGTCTTTAAGTTGGGTATAGGACCTTCATATTTAGCTCAAGAAAACTTCATGTTATATAAAATCATCACAACAAATTTCATCAAAATCGGTTAGATAGATTTTGCATAATAATTTCGACCAATGTTTAAACAAGCGCCAGAGCTCTCCTAATTGACGGATTCGAATTTTTCAAAAACCGTTTGAAAGCTTGAGAGCCCTTCTATATGTGATTAAATTTTCAAGTATCCAAGGGCCTTGGTTTTTGCTGTGTATAATTTTGAAAATTTGCAATTTTTTTTCAAAATTTGCAAAATTGCAAAATTGTTATGCAAAATCTATCTAACATATTTTTCTGTAAATTTGATTAAGTACTTAATATATTTTAGAGAAGTATTCTTTTCTCACTCTATAAAGAAATTTTAAAAAGCAGGGCTTAATAAATTCATTTTCACTGGAAAGAATATTATTTGAACAGCGGTCCCCTCAGAACGACACAAACAGCTGGAAAGAACACGAGTTCGAAAATGCTTTCAACAGAAACCACAGTCTCAACTGCAGAAGGATAATAATTAACATGTCCGTCCATAGAACCTGAAAGTTTTTAACTTACCCTTCTGAAAAACGACTCCCTTTCATGGAATCGTGTTGTCTGCGAATGATAACGCCACAACCTTTGTAGCCCCTACATCGAGTTCTTACAGTTAAACAATATACAGGGTGTTTTATTAAGAATGGAGTTTCCCCAACGGCTAGTTGAGTTGCAACTGACTGTAAGTTTCTTTATTTCGTAAGTTTTAATTCCAAAGATAACACTTACCGTGTTACAAAAAACACAAGAATCTTGAGACAACAGTTTCTTCAGATTTTTATGAATTGCTGAAGAAATTTTGACATGACCTTGAAAATGACCTTGACATTGACATCAAGGTCGTTTGAAGATCAAATTCAAAATTTCTTCAGCAAATCATAAAAATCTGAAGAAACTCTTCATTTCACCGAAAACAAGCACCTCAAGGGAATAAAAAAACTACTACGTCCACGTAGTTATTTATTCCTGGTGCTAAAAGTAGTTAATAATTATACAGTTTTTCGACCTTAAAATGACCTCGATATCTGTTCTTGTTCATATGTTATTGTTATCCCCGCTCTTGCAATTTCCGAGGTCAAAAAAGAGCATCCTGTTTAAAATTTTGAATTTTATCTTCAAACGACCTTGAAAGGTCATGTCAAAATAGCCCCCCTTTCACCCAACAACTTTTGTATGAAACATTTTTTGAAAGTGATTCCATCAAGGTACTCCGTTGTGTCAACATTCTTATTTTTTTGTCTTTTATGGCAAAAAAAATGGGAAAAAGTAATACGAAACAGTTTTTTTTTCGTTTTTCAATCAAAATCCGTGGTAAAAAATGGGTGTTTCCATTTAAAAAAATCAACTTCTGGTCTAAAAACACCAAGAAACCACTATGTTGGTGATCTTGGACTTGATCGTTTATACAAATTAAAAGTATTAAGGGCCCTAGTAGAGAACCTTGAAGGGGTCCTTAAATTAATTTCTCATTCTGTGAAATTGGTCTGATTCACTCTTACAACTTACGATGCTCAAAGTTTATTAATGTCTTGCTTCACTAGTTTGCATTTGTAGTACATTTGTTTGGTTTGCAATAACTGGCTATATTCATATCGATACGCATCATCCACACGGTACGGCATTCGTTTACCTTTAACAAATATGACATGTGATCGTATCATCAGAAACCGGCTTGACACACGTGAATAACGACCGAAAACATCCGGTAATCCTTCACGCTAGCAAAAAATCCCCCGGCACTCGCCACGTTTCCCAAATCAGGCCATTTGGAAAACTTTAAACGACTCGTTTAATCCAATTTAGTGACTCCCTCTCCGAAATTAACCCATTTGCCGGCGCGCCAGATTAATTAAAAAATATTTTGGCGGGTTATAAAGCGTTGAGAGGTCGGTCCGGCCTAGATTTAATAAAACACTGAGAGGCCCTGCCCGGATCACGTAGCGGCGACGCGGGGTCCGCAAAAAGTATGGCAGGAAGATTTTATTTCGCGCCGCAAATTAGTTTTATGGGGGCTGCCCCGTTTTTGCCGGGTGTGTTTGCTTACATTTCAAAAAGTGACTCGCAGCCTTCAACTCGCCAACTGCTGGAAAGGTTTTTTTTTGGATGTATTAAGTAAAATTTGTTGGGTTTAGCTTGCTGTGAAATAGTCGAGAAAGCTCGAGTCTTTAGTGTCGACATAATGATGAGCCCGTATACGATTCCAATTAAAACAATAAGATTGAAATTAATTTCTCGCTGAGAATCCATCTTAAGGCTGGCATTTTATACAAGTGTCCCAAAATAATGGAACAAAATTCATTCAGTCATTTTTCAGTTGAAATTTAAAAAAAAAACACTGAAACAGATCAATTAGTAAATAGAAATTGTCACTTTTCTACAATATTCTCTATTTTTTGAGTCATGTTTGACAGACCTATAAAATTACCGACATTTTTTTTTTTTTTGAACGAAAACAATAATTTACTACTACTTTTTATTTTAATACAGCAAATGTTCAAAGTGCACCCCATTAACCATTGCACAGTTCGGTGTTCAAAGTAATTAATTACATTTTGAATAACATTTGGTGCTGTTTCGAACTTCTCTGATACGATTTTTCCATCCTTCGATAGTGTCTGGTCTATTCGCATTCGCTTTGCTTTTTAGATAACCCCACAAAAAAAGAATCTAGGGGGGTTATGTCAGTTAATCAATCGATTTGGGAAAACTTCATAAAAGTAATTCCTTACATCGAGGCGAAAATGTGGAGGGGCACTATAGGCCAGGAAAAAGAGCTGGGAAATTACCATTTCGCGACTTTTTGTTTCGGCAAATTTATCACTATACACTGTATAGGCTGTTACAAATTCGCTTCTCACTACAGGGATCTCGGAAACGGTACGAGCTAAGAAGTAGCTTAAATGGGAGCAAAGTTGCGTAATCAGGGGACCACACAATACGACTCTAAAAAATCAAGGCTAATATTATTAGTTTTATAAATGATTAGGGTATTAATTTATGTGTTAATAGTTTCGTAAGCAGTAAAAATATAATTTTTTCCTTATTCTGAATGTATTTTCAGCTTGTAATCGGCCTTATCCCATAGAAAAAACTGTAACTGGTACAGCGAAGAGATATTGTTTCTAACTCGCTTAGAATTCCTAAAACCCTCACCAAAAGACTGCGATAAATTTACTGAAAATTACACGTAAAAACACTCCCGTTAATACTGAATGCTGGTATGTGCGAAAGCGTAAATTAGAGTTCTTTTTAATCCAATACAGACGTTCATTTCCTTTCTTACTAGTTTCGGATGCTATATCATCGTCGAGAAAAAAATTACAAGCATTGGAAAAGAATTCTTCAAAATTTTGCTCAACTCCCATTGAGTTGTATGGCCGTCTTCTCAAACGTGATCCCGAATTTTCATTTGTCAAATTCTTGTTTTTCTTACGAAAAAAAGGATAATTGTTGTCTCGAAGAATAAAATATACTATTTTCGATATTTCGATAAAATGGCGAATGCGCCAGGTATTTATGAGAAAATTAATTTTTGTTGCTTCGTCTGATGTATGAATAATTAATTTGAAAGCATTTCACTCACTTAACCACGCTTTATGGAAAATAATAGTTAATTACTATATTTTCGATTATTAAATCATATTTAGCAAAAAACAACGCAACATTAAATCCATATTTCAATTTAACTATTAAAGAAGGCGGTTTTTGAAAGAGAAATCCGGAAAAACCTGAAATTTTGCAAAATTGTTTAATTTTTTCTGGCTTTATTTGAAAACGAATTTTAAAATAAATTGCATATTTACAGTGCCACTTTTGTCGCTCTATACAATGGCGTCAACATTTTTGCAATGCGACGTTTCGTCTTCGAGGGGCCATCATCGGGTTAATTTTTTTAAATACGTCGCTGCTATTTTTATAACAAAATCTAAAGTCATTTTTAATTCTGAATTAGAGGATATTATAAGTAGAATTTTTCTTTGAAAAATGTTTTGTGTTTCAGTCCGGAAAAATTGAATATCTCGGAAACTTCTTGATTTTTTATCTAAAATTTGTGGTTATTTAAGAAACAGAAAGGTATACTTTCACCAAGTTTCGTTAAATTAAATTATTTTTGCGGAAATGAGAAATAAAGAACGAAATATCAGAAAAAAAGCTGTTTTTCGCATTTTTCTTGGAAATTTTGAGGTTATCTTAAAAAGTGACTTCTAAATAAGTTGTAGATTTTTGCATGATCTACAAGTCTTGTATTGGATACTTTTTTGTATGACGTCAACTTTCGCCAGAAATTCCAATGATACAATTTTTCACAACTTTTCAACCCCCTAAATCAACCTGCTCACGCATTTATGTTTTTTAGGTTTATTATAAGCCCCTTTAGCATTTCCACTTATAAAAGTCCAGGTAACAATTTTTTTTTTCTCCAGGTGTAATTTAGTTGGACTATTATGTTTTTATATTAATTATATTATACATATATACATATATCATTATTATGGGGAACAAGAAAACGTAGAACTTGTTTGTAATAAATGTCTTTATTTATGATAATACTAATACACGTACCAATAACTTAATCTACACAACATTGGGAACACATTCTAGTACTTATAACCGCCTTGTTGGACAGCAGCTGTAGGTGGTAAATACTGATTACTAGCTACAGGCGCAGCAGGTATCTCTACACTAGCTGCGCTGTACTGGCTGTGGCTTGCCGCAGCCCTAGCTTCTTCAGCGGCGTTGATCTCCAGACTCTTCAGAATAGCTTCGGGAATTGGAGGAGAGGTGGGGAGGTGAGAACCTTCAGGCCTGAAGCCGTTCTCGTCAGCCACGTAGCTGACGGAGACGGTTTGTCCGTTGGGCGCCAAGTAGGAGAAGGCGCCGTGAACTTCGCTGGAACCTGCAGGTGTCAAGTGGCCTGACTCTTGGGCTGCGATGTGGTTGGCGGTTTCATAGCTAAAAAAACAGTATAAAATAGGTGGACAACAAATGCCATAATATTTTTTTGATATTTAAATTAAAAAGATCGTTAAAATTTTACCAAAACGAACATATTGACTTACTCGTATCTGTAACTTCCATCCCCATTACTGTCGCTGTTAAGCTTGACTATTGGCACCGGAGGGGTGACTGGGGCTAAGTACGTCTTCACTGCAGCTACTGGAACCCCATATGATACGATTGGAGCGGGACTAGCGACCAATCCAGAAGTAGCAATTGCTGGAGCAAGAGCACTAGCTGGTGTTGCGTAGACAGTCGAGATGGCAGCAGGCGTGCTTAGACCAACTGAAGGTGCAGCCAAGATACTTGCGCTTCCCCCTGCGAGTTTGGCGTTGCTTGGTGGCAAGTAGTTGTTCCCCAGGTGTCCTGCTGAAGCTGCAGCTACAAGGAGTACAGTAATGAACTGAAAAAAAACAAATGTACTGTATAGGACGGCTTGAATATATTAACAGTAGCAACGTATTCTTCTCGTTTAATTAAGAGAAATAGTTATAAACTCAATTACTTGTGCGTGAGAGGTATGGAGTATTAATATTTTGTAAGTTAGTTGCTCAAAAAGTAATAAACGTTTACGAATAGATATTTCGAGTAATGAAGATGAATGCTTTGAAAATGAAGCAAAAAAATTCTATAACGTGTTTAATAGTGGCCGCAAGAAAACAAAAATTATTAACACAATTTGTAAACATGAACATATTTTTTTTACTGAAAATTGAAAGTTATTTTAAAAGTAAAGCAAAAGGCAGATAATAAGAGAAATATGAAAAACTCAAGTAAAAATGTCTATAGAAAATATGTTTACCAGTTTCATATTGAGATCGTTGGTTGGCTACCCTGCAAATGATGCCTTCCCAGTGCATCGCCGTTCACTTATATACCCCCAAAAGCCACAAAGATGTTACAGTTTCGGACGCAACTATGACATGTTCCTTTCAAGGTCGCTTCTGAGGAATTATCGTAATAATGACTTCATTGACTGGGACTGATACGTTTGATATTTAGATTGACTGACCTCACATTAGTACGTGTTTGTTAGAAAATCTTATTTGCTAACGCGGTGATTCCACAATAATGCAAAGTGTTAGCAGCACCATTAAGGAAATGAAATAATATAAAATCATTATATCACATTCGATTCCCATAAATATAGAATAATGTATTACAATTATTAGTGTTGAGAACGTTTCGAGTTTTTTTACTTTTCAAAAAAAAATTATAAAAACAACCCCTTATGCCGAAAGGGTTGACTTACAAGTATATAAGATTTAGCCTTTCGGAAACAAAAATTTTCACATTTCAGCTTTCGCAAACACAGTACTGTTGAATTTTCTTTAAATACTACGAAAAAATTATACACCTCAAATTATTACACATACAATTTTATGAATGTGTTATACTTTCAAGATAAAGAAAAGTTTTTTTAGAGGATATTAACAAATAACCTGAGATGAACTCAGGCATTTTTCAAAAACTTGTCGACCTTCAGTTCTTAAAAAACGGTGAGAATAAAAAAAACATTTGTCATTAATATTAGAACTGGGCCAGATCCACTAATGATGTTTCCAATTTCGTCAATCGCTAAAGCGTTTTCAATTAAACAACATTATCGACATCATCATCACACCATTAAGGTCAAATTATTATTAATGTTTATTTGAATGTATTTTTTTTTCGTTAACAAATCAATAGACGAAGCTTGACGATAAATTATATTTGGGTGGTATTTATTTTTTCACTACACTTTCGATACCAACAAGCACCTAAATGTTTCTTATATTAATTGATGCACTTTAATAAAAAGTTAATTTTAGTTAAAATAATACATAGTTCAAATTTTGATCAACAGTTATTATTGATTTTATTTTATTTCATTAAACATGGCTGCAAAAGGCAGAAGTATGGATATTATGCTTCATTTAATATGAAGAATTATTTCCGGAAGAATAATTTCAATGAAAATCACCGGAAAATTCAATTTCATTGCGGGGTAGGCCTCTTTTGACATAAAAAGAGATATTAGCATACTTCCTGAGTCGTCTATTTTTTTTATTTTCAGTGAAGGGTGAAAGATGAGCCATGTACTTATAAAAAGACGGGATTATGACGGCGTATTTTCCAAAATTAGATTTCAGGATTAGTAATTAAAACATCTCTAAAATTACTCCTTCTATAAACATACCTATATAAATTTTTAGCTTGAAACAAAACTTCAAAAAGATCATTGGCGAAGACATTTTTTCTTTCAAGTAAAATGGAAAATTTTTTTTGTAGAAATATGAATATCAAATACACTCATAATAAAGTGAATTTAGTGAATTGATGTCATTAGATTTTATTAGCTAAAGTCCCATCTGTGCATATGTTTTGAACACTCCATGATTAATTCATTTTATGTCATTGTTTCCTTAAGACTGTTTATTTTAAAAGGAATTACCTCCTCAAGTTGACATACAGAAAATAGGTACTCTGTATAATTGCTGAAGGTAAATAATTCTAATAAAATTCACATAATAATAATAATATCTCTACTCCTCATTCTAACCACGAAAATTTGCCCAGAAGTCAGAGACTTGTGCGGGAGAGGGGGCGGCATATTATTATTATTATTATTATTAAGCAAGCCGCATTTGCACCCAGGAACGACTTATATTGGTAGGCTCTAACCACCATTCAGTGCAGGAATGAGAGAAACTTGGAAAACCTCATTAATTAGGGGGGTGGTCAAATGCCATATATGAAACGTAACATCAGTTAGTTTAAATTTTATTTATATTGTGTCCCTTTTGTCTGATAATAATTTTCTAACGTATTCGAAACGTCTTTCTCTACCTTCACCCCTTTGCACTTCTAACTTGTGTGTAAAGTTAAGTTTTTATTTATTAGTGTGAAATTTAAATTCTCAAAAAAATGCTAATGTAACTTTAGTTTCGAAAATTTGCAGCTATATTCTAGTACCTAGTATGATTGATTTAATAATAATATCACTGCATATGCGAAACATTACTGTTAATTTTCATGGCCAAAATAAAACTTACAAGTGAGCACCTAATACACCTTATTTTATAAGTTGAAAGGCTCGCCTAACCTTGAGAATAGGACCAAGCTATAAATCGCCGGGAATCAAAATTGATCGCCCGTCCCGATTCGATCAATACTTCAACTGTCTTACTTCGAAATTATGCTGTTCGAAGTTTTAACACCAGTTTTAATCTAATCCAACCGAGAATCCCGTCCCTTTAATTAAACAGGTGTAGTGGCTAAGGGCATTCGAGATTTGATGAATATGTAAGACGGGGTAAGGGCCATAGTCCGCACTTTGAGGCATCGGAAAGCAAAAAACTTAGGCCTTCACGGTGTCCTATTGATGGCCGGTCCCAGAATTTGCATCCGGTTCGTAGCGGGTAATCCTGAAACTTAACTATTGTTTGTCTTGCTTAGAGCCCGTTCGAAATACAACGTGTTCCGTTTCAAAAGGTCTCCAAAATGCCATGTTGTAATAATATTAGTAAAAAAATGTCCCTCTTATTTCTCCGTTTCGCAATTTTAATATGAATGATTAATATAATAAATTAAAATTACCTGAATCGCACCAAATTCCGCATTGCTGCACTGCACTGCTTGGCAATTTGTCAACTACTTGTCAACAACTGAGATTTACTGCCCAGTTGCCCAGTGCAGCTGTGTTATACGCCATTTGCCCGAGCGCGCATTCTTGAAGATAATAATGATAGTACAATATTACAAAATGTGGTAAACTAATCGGTTGGTAACGAACACAAAGATTATATTAAAAAATAGCATAAGATTCAGTCTCCAGTAACCACATCTTTCATATATTATAGAAAAAGATCCCTTTTCACGACGTAATCGTTGGGTTGGATTAAATATTACACAAACCTACACAAATGTGTTACCAGAATACGAAATAGTAATCCCCTGCTTATTGTGCAGGTACATAAATTTAAATCACCTCGATGATTCAATCCTGGCTAGCGCCCGCGACAATAGGCGTCGTGCTAGGCTGATGTCCGGAAACGGAACTGCATCCCTCATCTGGGGATACCGAGACGGGCGGGAAGGAAGACGTTAAGGGGGTTAGGGCGCATATTGTGCGCGTATATTAGCAGTGAAGTGAATTAACATGGGAACACAAATAATGCTTTACAACCCCGGAATTAATTACGGAGCTGGCATATCGCGACAGTTTGATTAAATCTTTCTTAAGGCTGCGTTATTAGTAAACGTTGAGGATTGTTGGATACCGTTTTATTTTTTATCGTCGTGTTAGTTTTGGATCACTTTTAAGAATCCGAGATTTTTTACCCCACCAATTAAGGTCAAAACTGTTTTTTCCTAAATTTTGTCCAAATATATCATTTTTGTAGTCTCCTGATACTCTGAATACCACCATTGGTGAAATTTACCTCTTGACCTCGATATTTCTCTGAAAATCTAAAATTAGTGCTTTTTTACATACCTACTTGAATATTGAAAAAGTAATTACTAAGAAAAATGCCGAAATTATTGACCACTCTGTGGAAAAAAGAAAGATATATTATTCATTATCGCAATTTAAAACAAAGTACAGCTTTAGGATTAAACGTTGAAAATTTAGGCAAAGTTGTTGGATGGAAATATATATTAACTTAAAAACAGAATGAAAAAAATTAATAACAATTTTTATAAATTGATGAACAATGCTGTTTCTGGAAAAACCATGGAAAATGAAGAAAATATAAAGATGTAAAGTGAGTTACTAGATGGGCAGGTAGATATGAAGCAAGTCATATTTTAAAGCCAAATGTTGAGTTGTACAATTTTTGATAAACATGGTTATAATTGAAATGAAACGATTAAACATTACATTTAATAAACCTATATATGTAGGATTTGGTATATTAGATATTTCGAAAACAATTGTGCATGGATTTTTATTGCAACTACATTGAAAACAAATTTAATGATAAAGTAAAGTTACTGTACATTTTTTCTTTAATATATCAGATCTGTGTTGATGACATACAGGGAGTTTCAATTAAAACTTCCCACTCGAAAAATATCGGAATTAAAAAAAAAACAAAGAAGCTACCCTATGTTGAGTGACAAATATCAATGAATGAAAGAGTGTTATTTTATTGAGTTTTCAAATTGGTTTCCCTCCGCCTCCATACAATAATAAAATCTTTGCTCCACTTCCGCACGAACATTTCGAAGAATTTCGGACGTTATCTAACGACATTCTTGAACAATTCGCCGACGAAGCTCTTCAAGTGAGTTCGGTCGTGTTGCATACATTTTCGACTTTAAATGTCCCTATAGAAAAAAGTCTAAGGGCGTTAGATCTGGCGATCTGGGAGGCCACTCAATTGAACTTTCGTAGATATTTTGTCTTATTCTTTAAATGATGATTTTATTCAAACCAAAATTTAAAAAGTCGTATGTTGTCGACAGCAGAATTGAAAAAGCTTTAAAATGAGGTATAATCGGTATAATTACTAAAATACTAGCAAAAATCAAAGGATATTCCTTACTATACGTATCACTGGTACATCTCAAATAACTCTCACAGTTTTTATTGACCAGTTAATTGTATTTATGTCTTGCGACGTGGCAATAAAATAAATTTATCGCTTTAAACACAGACGTTGAAACGAGGAAGAAATAAGAACAACCGGTTATTTATCGAATCCTTAATCCTAGCGGGATTAGGTAATTTCAAAATAATTCATCTAGAATGTTTATATTTAAAGCGAAAGTGATTAATTCCGTAAGGAGAGATTTATTATTACCCTAAACTTTAAGTTGATACTTCAGTAAAATATATGGATCTTGACTACGCCGAAATGAAACCTGCCCACCAGTGAGTTAGGCCGTTGCGTGGGCGATAGAGCGGGCCAACCTACGCAGGATGAGCATGGATATTCCTGACATCCCTTAATACTTTAATTAATTTATTATTATTAATATATTTACAGTTATTTACAGTTTAAGTTACAGTATTCCTAAAAACATTGTGTTTTATATGCAATTTTGATCTATTAATAGGTATTTATTAATTCAATATTTCCGTCCCTTGAAAAAGCAATCCTCAAATGCAGTAATTGCTATGAGTCGACGTCCGATCGCATTCCTTGATAGATCCGCATAGGTCTCGTAATGAACTACGCCCAGCATAATATAAATTTCTCATGTAAATAAATAAATACATATAAGTAATACAACTAAGCAAGTCTTCTCCTATTCGAATCGGTTCGCTTACTTTTGTGATAGAGGAATTAAACGTATCTAAATTTAATCCCTGGAAGATTGAAAGTAACACTTTAAACCCCGACTTAATCCACGGGGAGCAAAAAATTATTTCAACTTGTTTTGCGTAAGGCTGTATCTAATTTCATCCCCCAAAACACTTAAAATTAATTCCTATGAATTTTAATAAAGCGGCGGATTTTCGTCTTCGCTAATTAACCAAACAAATCTCCCGAAGAGAAAATTTAATGAAAAACAGGAACCGTCCGCAGGCCTGCGGTTTCGGATTGACAGAGCGGGTCGAAGGGACGAAATACCGCTCGTCACATGTTTTTATTTTCCTCTGGTCCCGAACACTTATTCGACATTGTCCCGCGTCGAACAACTTTCGAGCTCGGGTTATGAGGGCGTTTAAAAAATAATAGTCGCGCATTAATCTACCTTATAGCGGTTAAAGAGACGACAACAGTGATTAATTTTCCGCAATTAAACCGACCCGTTAATTTAAAGCTGCCCTGATTGTGGTGAGAGATCTGGAAAAAGGATGATTTAAATATATAATGTACTTGAATGGGTTTAATTAGGTTATGACTTTTTTAATGGCGCGTAATCATGTTGAAATATTAGCAGGGAATTTTTATTTACAATGCTCCATACAATTTATGTATAATAGTAATAAAAACAAAATCACAACATATATAAACTTATAAGTAAATAAAAGTATATATTAATTCCCTAAGGCGTCCATACATCCAATGGTAACATCGTCTACTGGGCTCGTACAAAAATGAAAGAACAACTTTATCAACTGGACATTGATAACACCAAAAATATTATTTTTTTTAGTACAAAGACTAAAATACTGTTTTGAAACATGTCAGTCTAAAACTAAGCTTTCATACAATGTCTTCCACATTTTTATTGTCAATTTTAACTACAAATTATGATTCTACTTAAATACGCAATTTTTCGAATATCAACAAAGGACTTTATAGGATTTAAAATTAATTGCTGTCGGTTAGAGAAAGAGACTAAGCAGCCCAAATCATAATTGTTAAATTACACGTATAAATGCTACATAACAGGGGCTCTAGTATAGACCCTTGCAATACTCCACGTTCTTTAGATGAGCTACCTTTACCTGTTTCCATACATAAAATAAAATGTTTACATTTACACAAAAACTGCAATAAAAAATACATATTGGTAAATAAAATATTTGTATACAGGGTGATTCAGAACTTATCCAAAAAAAATTTTTTTTGATGTACAGGGGACTCTTACAAATACAATTTTGTAAAGAAAAAATCAAAAAGGGCAGTTCGAAAATGATTTAAAAATACATTTCTGCACGGTACTGGATACTGGTCCACTATAAAACCTGACATCGCACAATGCGACTGGCATGGCGGCAAGGTGTGATAAAAACGGACAAAAACTTGAAAGAATTTCGGAAGGAAAAAAATAAATATAATTTTATAGCACCTATTTTATATCAGCAAATTCAACTTCAAACTAATATGACATACCTTATGTTGCAACTGTTCAAAATTGTGTCCACCGACGTGTAAACACATTTGGGCCCGTGTTACTTAGTTTCTACGAACTAACACAAATGTTACCTTGCTTCACCACAAATTAAAACGATATCCATCAACTCCGAGTTGCTATACACGCAAGCCATTTTTGAGACTAACTACTAAAAAACTATTGTAAACACTATTGCAACGACGATTGTAAAATCGGATTTCAGTATTCGGAGTCACTGAACGCGTATTACGAATGACATTAGGGACTACAGTTGTCCAACTATGTAATGGTTGAAAGTACTACAACTTCATTAATTTTTTTTCGGAGACTATAAGGATTTTACAAAAAAAATTACGATGTTGACTCCATTTCTCATGCCGAATCTATTCCCAAATTTGTTTGGATAAATTGTGAATCAACCTGTATATAGTGTGGAACCAAATGGAATAAATTCAGTAAGATCCAATCAAAATAATCAAATAATTCATTACCTATTGAAAAATGCTAAGGTTTTAATATTGATTGCAAAAATTAGCAGTAAAAAAATAAATTGGACACTGTATGATCCACTTATCCAGATGCTCACGAATTATGCTTGTGATATTGTTGATGTCATTGCCTGTTAGCCTTGCCGAAAAATCGATATGTGTTATTACAAAAATTGATATATAACTGTAATTTGTCAGGTTTTTGGTAAGTCTATATTCCTGTTTTATTGATACGCTATTGCTCGGTAGATATGAGTTCTTGCCTAAATCCACTCAGCCAGTTTTTCAGAGGCGTACAAGTGATATTTGTTTTTTAATATATTTTGTTTGAGTCGGCCAGACATAATACCAAAATTTTATATCACCCTATATAACCAAAATCGGTAACGCATGATCGTTTAATATGTAATATTTCAAGAGCTCGAGATGATAAACCAAATTACAACATACTACAATGTCCAGTATCTGAATTTGTCTGATTATATTACCCAGATGTTACTTAATTTTAATATTCTTCAACTAATGAAAGTGTTACGACATATTATAAATACGTCTGAAACTGTTTATTTGCAACGTATCTTAATTTATTTCTCTATTCATTTAAAATTCTGCTACAGTGCTGTTGATTGATGTTTTTGATGTAAAATGTATGATTTTATTTAGCTCGTTGTGTATTCACAAGTGAAAATTAATAAAGAAAAAATGTGAATACCATTCTCTTTTAAAATGAAACTAATCCTAGCTAGTAAATACAGTTTATGAAATGAAATACGGTTCTTAAAGATGCTGCATATTATTTCGTATTTATTTACAATGTAGGTATCAATACTGAGTTCGGGGAAAATATGGTAACCCAGAAGACATATTAAGTGACCCTGTATTAAAAAAATATCCTGTCATTCAACTGATGACGTGATACTGAAGTTCGAGGTAATTCTAAGAAATTAAGTGATGTATTTAGGACAGAGAATGATACACAGTTACTCACGGAATTGTATTGCAGTGAAAGTAGTGTATGATTCTCAGAATCCAGAAAAAAATTGTTTCACATCATACACATGCCTGCAAAATGCACAGAAGAACTTGTAAGCAGGAGCCGCGGATATGTTTCCAAAATTGCCGAAGATGCTACCAGTTGCCCGCAAACTCTAGAGGACCAGCAGACTCACCACGGGAAGCCGATGCTGTCCACAGAGCAATTTCGAATTTCGGAAAATTCAATCAAATTTCAATAAAAAAATGGGCTGTATCTAAGAAAGCCAATTGTCCAGACGCTAGGTAGACTTCACTATAGGACCCCTCAAAGAACGGGACCGAACGTCTACCCTGGTACTTGCAGTTCAATAACCAGGAACGAATACCTGACCAGTACGACACAAACTCTAATTTCTGCTTTATATACAATCAATTACGAAATGCTCATTTGTTGTAAATAAATATGATAGGGTTACTGGATATAAGTGTCACCTCGCCCTAACTAACTCAATCCTTAAATAAAATATGTTATAGTACCATGAAGTATTTATTTATTTTTTTCTGACTACACTTAACTTAAGTTTAAACAAATTAAACAAAAGCGCAATAAATATTTTAACAAACGTTATCATTATGTACCTATTTAACAACAAGCTACCTCAGTCTAATATCTATAACCGCCATTCTGTTGGCTACCACTGGGCTTGGGGGCTAAGTACTGTCTGCTTGCGGCGGCTTCTGAGGGATCAGGACGGTACTGACCGTCATCGACGATACCGGCAGCTTCGTCAGCAGCATTTTGTTCCAGGGCCTATAAAAAAAATAAATACAGTGATACAGTGAAAATATGTTGCTATGCTCAGTTTTTGAATATGATATTTTTTATCTCTCTATTGGTAGATACATGTGAAAACGATTAGAATCAAGAACATTAGTAACAGTTTCTTTATCAGGAAAAATTGAATAATATAAAAAAGTGTGTCTATAACCTTTAACAAATAAGTAATAGATACATACACTATATAAAAAGACATCAATACTAAGTTAAGAAGCAAACAGGTTTGAAAAATTGTACTAATACAACAATGTTCAATCTATAAAGTAAATCTTTTCTACTACGGTTGGTCACCCTGTAGGATCCATAATTATCTGCGTACTGCGATGTATCCATTTGATAGTAACTTGTTTCAATATTGTAAACATACAGTGTTCAGATTTGATACATAGCTCACCTATCAAATTTTAATGTGTGGTACTATTTTGATAGCTGTTTTTTTATATATACAGGGTGCCTTAATGCTTAAGTGGCACTACACAGCCTATGACGATTTCTTTGAAGAGTGATTTTTTGCGAAATGGTATTAGAGATTTTTTTATCGAAAATCTGACAACGTAGCTTGGATTCAGTACCACCCAAAACTCTCATATATCAAGCATTATTATTGAGTTTCTATAATCCATAAAAATTAACAGTGAGGTTTAGAACTTTACTCTATGATGTTTTACTATTTTCAAGTACCTTCAGGGCATTCTAAATTTTTGAACAGCAACAAATATTTGCCTTTTGAAAATCTTCGACTACATGAAACATTAATAAATAAGTGAAACGTTAAAACACCATAGTTTTAAAGGGTATTGATGCTTCATAATTAGTTTTTCGTAAAATAATCTCTAATATAATTTAACGAAAAATCACCTTTCAAAACCCTCATTGTCGTTTTCGGTTCTATAGATGCATGAAGACATGTTGTATATAAAAAAATTGTCATTGAAATCATATAATATAGGTACTAAAATTCGGGAGGAGTATTCTAGATCAAATCTCAACATGCTGTATGTAAGAAGTTCGTGGATTTTTCTGGAAATATAATTCAGGAATACCCATTAATTTGCTCAACTTTCTGTTAGACCAGAAATTAGTTTTACCTATACTTATTGTTTATCAACCCCGTATATTTTAGTTACATCAGACATATTTTTTTTTTATTAAAGATTCAGCTATAAATATAATTATTATTTTATCACGTCTTGAAATAAAATTTCCACTTATGATGCAAGTGTTACTTTTCACAGTCGTTGCTTAAAAGCTATCTAAATGGATGTTCTACATTCTAGAAGTATCCGCCTCTTCAGCTTAGATTATTTGACTGCGACCCGCAATATTTTGCAAATCGAAAGGTATGTTATACGGTAGAAAAAAATCTATTAATGTTTTTGCAACAGTTCGCAGTTGCAATTAGATTGAAACGAAAGGATCTCTTAACCCTGTTTTTTTTATAAATGTCATTGTCATGGTTGCACAGGTACCAATATACAGAATGTGCACAAACTTTGCATTAGTAATATCTTGAAATTGCAAATTGCTGTTTAATATCAATAGTAATTAAAGTTGTTAAAACTTATTGAGGACTTCTGGGATCGTCCCCAACTTACATATTACATAAAAAGGGGTGAATAGTTGTAGCCGTAGATGGGGTGTCGTCCGCTTTTTTTGTGAAACTACACTGTGTGTATTAATAAGTGCGAATAAACATACTGAAATGCCTCACTTGTAAACGGAGGCAGCACTATCGGTGGAGCCAGCGGTCCCAAAAAAGTTTTCATGGTATCAATGTGATAAGTCAATCTCTGACTTTGTAAACGCTATGTATTACTTTTTTTATCAGTTCGAGTAGCCTTACCTTAAGAATTTCTTCTGGTACTGGTGGTGCTGTGGGGATGTGAGCTCCTTGGGGTTGGAAACCGTTTTCATCGGCAACGTAGTTGACGGTGTAAGCTTGGCCATCAGGAGCTACGAAAGAGTAAGATCCTTGAGCTATAACAGCGGCATCAGCTCCTGCTCCAGCAACGTGACCCGTTTCTTGCTGGGAGATGCGGTTTTCGGTCTCGAAACTAAAAATATCAATTAGTATCAATCCAAGAATATTTGATTGAACTTATTACAGCGGGTTTTCTTTGCATTGACTTGGAAAAACGAAATACTCACTCGAAGTTGTAAGTTCCATCACCGTTGTTGTCATTGTTGAGTCGGAGGATAGCTACAGGGGCAGCAGTGGGACCGCTGTAAGCGCTGACAGGGCCTGCACCACCAGAGGCAGATTTTACAGGGGTGTTCAGAAAACTGCCACTTCCCCCAGCTGAGCCGGAACTACTAGGAGGAAGATAGACATTTTCAAGACGACCGGCCGAGGTGGCTGCGACGAAGAAAAGTACGGCGAACTGAAAGAAAAAAAATTGTTAATTTATCACACAACGTTTAAATTTTTTCGATCAAATATCAATGTCCCATTTTTTTATAATTTAGAAATGAATGAAAGCACAAAAACACTTAAATAATACTTCAAAAAATGTTAGTAAATTAACTAATATAAGTCTCATCCATCTGATGCTTTTTCAAAACTATTAAATCAAATCCGACAATTTCGCAAAATTTTCGTAACCCCCCCAGCTAAGCAACTTGCATTAGTATCTCTCTACTTACATATTTCATGGTGGTGCTTGAATGATCGTGGATAAAAACCAAATGATACCAATTAAACCGTACTTTCCCCTTTTATACGCGAAGATGGTTCGAAGAATCACATCGGGACGATTCAAAGTAAGAAGACGACATGTTACAGATATGCGTACCCTGAAAATTTCGCAACGCATCTCAAGGCGATCGTGGCAGGTACTCGAGCAATTGGATCCGTATTTTATTAATTACACCTTCAAAGGTCAATATGTCGTTAATATTAAGTGGGTAAGTATCGTAAACAGGTGTAACATCTGTATCGTTTTGTGAATTTTGTAATAGCACCTTTGAATTATGGATACGTCTCAATCGAACCGCGCCATAAAGATGTTAGATAAATTTATTCGTGTTTTAGCACCTAAATCTAGTTCGAATGTTACTACAGTCGGTTTATTAAAAATTGGCATGAAACTTATACAAACGAAAATGCAACGTTGTCTTAACCACGTGAGCGAAGATAATGTAAAAATTAATGTAAAAACGCATTTTATAGTACTTATCGGATCCTATATTGTAATAGACAATTCAAATGGAAATTAAATTGAAGTTAGTTAAGTGCAAGACTTTGGATATTGCTGTTTTATACTCTCTTGGGAAAATATATTGTTCTCCAATTATAACAAATTGCTTTTCGATTCATTTAAACAGGTTTTAAATTAGAGTACCTACAAATAGCTACAACTATCTATTGGCTTGGCAATATTTAATATATTAACTACATATTTAGATTTGAGAACTTGCTCTTATTTTACCAGAATTATTAAGCAATTCAGAACTTGCAGGAAACTAACTTTTAACAAGGAAATAAGGATTTTGTTGAAATATTTGAAAAGTTGGTATAATTTTCTCTATTTGCGAGAATTTTTGCTGGAAAACCTTCAGTACATAATAAAAGTGTAGATCCCTAGATCTGGGCGCGGTCCGGAATATTTTCAAAATTGCAAAAATGTTTAAAAGATTTTGAAAAATACCTATTTTATCCGAGTTTTTTACTTATATCTTGGAATCTATGCATTTTGGAAGAATATTGAAGAGGAAAAACGTTTTAGAATTGAATTTTACACAATATACTGTAAGTTAAAAATGTTTAAATTTATTACCGATGTTGCAAAGTAGCAATAATTGATGAAAAAAGACAAAATAATCAAGTTTTTTGGATAATTTTTTAAAAATATTTTAATTGCTCCAAGGGCATTCAAATTTTGGTAAAAAAAAACTTTAGAGTATAATAAAACAACAGACCAAATTTCATTAAAATCGGTTCGATAGTTTTCGCAAAATAATTTTTTAAAAAAAGTGAAACAAATTTTTCGAATTTTCAAAATTGTGCAACATTTTGCCTCAAATAAAGCATCTAGATACTTGAAAAATTTTTCATATAGAAAAGACCGCTCAACATTTCAAATGGTTTTTGAAAAATTGAAATCGGTTGATTAGGACGGCTACAGTAAATTTTTAAAGTTAACATTATTTTTTTTTTATTTTTAAAACAATTAGATTACATTTATCAATTTGCAATTTAGTTTTTTTCAAAAATTATAATTTTAAAGTACCAGCCAGTGTCTATTTTTATAAAAAGAGTGGCCCCGAAAAACTGAGATTAAGATCAATCAATTAGGGTCTATCTAATATTTTTTTAAGTTTCGCATAACTCTGCTATATTTAGATAGCTCATCATAATTTACTAGTTTTCCGCGTTCCTATCAAATTAAATTAATTAAGGGTTTTTCTTATTTTTTGCGGATATATTATTAGAGATTAATTATTCTCGTACTTTATTCTAAATATCCTGCGTTCAAGGAAACATCGTAAGTCACTTATAACAAGAGTGACTGTCACGACAATTTATTCAATTAAAACTTAAAATGGCGCTCTAATGTGCTTTTAAAATGTCAATGATGCAGACAATTTTAACTAGCGTTAAATATAATTGCACCATCAAGGTGTCGAGGATGAAGATTTCTGTTTAGGTGGCGACTTCGAATATTTCTTAAAGAGAATAAGGTGCTAGAAAAAATGCAGCAATTTTGTATTATTGAGATATTTTTTAGCAATGCGAAATCAATTTCTGTGAATTATTCTCGATTTATATATCGATTTATTTGTTTTTGTTTTCAATTAATGACAAAAATTTGAATATTTGACATAGATATTTGACAAATAGTGAGTGAAAAAAACATAAAACATTTACCTGAATCATTAATTAATAGATGAGAGAAAGAAAAAAGTAGGTTACCGCACATTTTGCAGAGAAATAAATTACAGTGTTGCCAGGTGTTGCCATTTCACTAGATCTAGTGATTTAGGGAAAACTTTTATTATAATGTTATTATAATGCCCTTTTCCAGTGATTTTTTCACTTTTTAAGTTTTAAGAGTGACAGAATATGTTTTGAATATAATTACATTTTGATAAATTATGACATTTTTAATATCATTTTCATTTTAAAAGTAACATCAATAATTTCAGTATATTTTTTAGAATATTTACAGTATTCACAGTATATTACTACAAATTGTATTATTCTTTCATAAATGCATTCACTTTAAATCCTTGTCTTATAAGGAATATTTGTATTCACAGAAGTTCATCATAGTAGTGGGATGTTAGGTACTTGTGCATGTAACTAAGTCATATTTAAACTTTTCCACACGAAACACTTTCTGATAACAGTTTGCAGATAATCTAAAATACGTAAAAGTTCTTTGCAGAAATAGCAGTATGAGCCATGTACTGTATGTCGATTAGTTGATGCCCTCGAATGGTGTGCGGAGGTTCTGGTTCCACAATCTTCTCTTCAACAGCTTTTTTCCTGCTTTTGCTATTTCTGTTCTAATTCCCCTTTTGGTCACAAATTTTCCTTTGTACCGACTCTATTCTTCATCCGACATTTTATAGGTTAAAGCAATCAGCTGTGCGAGCGATCAGATAGCATAATGTATACCTGTATACATGACAAGGACTGCCAACTTACAAATAATAAACCCAGCATACTCGTGCGCTGTAGCCAAGTTTCTGTTGGAGCTTTTAGCATTTATTTATGCATATTGGTTAAAAAAAAAAATTGAGAAATTCAAATATATGATTTTAAGTATTGAAATCTCGATTTTATTCGATGTCTACAAGCAGGTATCCCAATCTACTAGCAGTAAATGTATATTAAAGCGCTTGTGCAATTTCACTCAACGTTTTTGTGCGTAAAAACGGTTGCCATATACCATTATTTTTATCAGTATGCCTGCGTCTAGGAATATAATATGGGTGTGTTACTTAATAATTACCCATCGGTTCCACGAGCGATTTTAATGCTGCGGCATTACATACTGCTACCCATAAATTTTACAGGCCCCGATAATTGGTACCATAAATTATACCTAATCATTTTAGTGGATCGGTGAATATTTTAAGGCATTCGGCGTGGTGTTTACTTAGCATCAATAATTGCGAAACAGAAACCAATTTACAACCCATTAATGCAAACGGGGAATAAATTAATCGGCAGCGCGGTATGGATCACTGCATTTGTAAGTAAGAATAGAATTGTTTATATTATTCGGAGAGAAGGAAAAGTTAAATTGGTCTTTTTTAAAGAACACAAATTTGTGTTGTGTTCTATTGATTTTGTGCAAATAATTATCTGAATAAAAATAGAAAAAAACTAGAAATTAATTCAATAAACTATTGCCAAAAGGATCAGCCATGGAATACTTTACGTTAAACATCTTCAGAGGTATTTAGTTGTCTAATTTTTACGTTACTTAAAATGTTTAACACCCTATATCTCGAAAACTAAGCTTTTCGGATATACATAGGTTTATACAAACTTTCTTAAATGCAGTATACAGGGTGTTTGAAATAAAACGAAGAATGTATACTTAGAATTATTTTAATAATAATAAAAAAAAGACAAGCAACCGTCCTCACCTGCCCACATACCTACCAATACTTACTATTAGAAAGTCAATTATGAATAGTTACTAGATTGTACCTGATGATATACTTAAAAATAGGCGGAGCTTTCTTTTAATGGAGGTCATTAAATCTTTTTTGAGAGACAGCCTGTTAACATTGTAATTAAATTAATTGAAAGTATACCAGAAAACAATAAATAATTGTTCCCACATATGAAATAGTTAAATAATAGATAGATATCACTTGACATCAGTAGCGGCTCTTCACTTCCATATCAGCCAGGGCGGAAAAATTTAGGTACACAGTATTGAAATAAATAAATAAATATAATTGCGAAAACTATCGAACCGATTTTAATGAAATTTGGTGTGTTGTTTTATTATACTCTAAAGTTTTTTTACCAAAATTAGAATGCCCTCGAAACAATTAAAATATTTAAAAAAATTATCCAAGAAACTTGATTATTTTGCCTTTTCTTCATCAATTATTTATTGCTATTTTGCAGCATCGGTAATAAATTTAACATTTTTAACTTCAAGTATATTGTGGAAAATGCAATTCTTAAAACTTTTTTCCTCTTCAATATTCTTCCAAAATGCTTAGGTTCCAAGATATAAGTAAAAAACTCATATAAAATGGATATATTTCAACATTTTTGAAACATTTTTGTAATTTTGAAAATGTTCCGGACGTCGCCAAGATCTAGAGATCTACACTTTTATTAGTTAAGTGAATCTGACAAAAATTTTACGTTTTAAATTTTATGGTGATAAACTGTTAAAAGTATATTACCCTAAATCACCAACGACATAAAAGTTTCCAGTAGCTAAATAAATATTCACTACACTGTCCATTCTCTAGTTAATTATTGTAGATCAAATTAACCATGACCACCTCTGTAAACACTTTACAGATGTAGGGGCGAGTTGCGCGGATCCCACGTATTCAAACAAATTTTGAAAGTCGAGTTAAATGCACGTTACAAATTTAACACTTTCTGTTTAATGTGTTTCACAATGCTAAATGTCTATATTACAATGTAAACTAAATTTTAAATTAATTTTTTTTACTACGAAAATTTCTAGGACCACCACTGCTTGACATATGTCCAAAAGTTTCTGGGTGTAAAAAGCCAGTGACGTACTGTCAAATACTTATTACATATTTTTTTTACTTGAACAATTTTAGGTTTTGATTAAAATCAGGGCATATTTTTTTATTAAATCTTTCTTTTTCGGTTGGCATAAATAGCTGATATATTTATAATTGATGGTTTTCTTACTCCAAACTGCCACACGTAATGATTAGTAAATAGTCGACATAATTGCACCTATTAATTAACAAATGTACTTCGAATACGTTTAATTATTTCATCTGACAGTATAATTATAAAGTTTCTCCGTAACGTATTAAAATTAACTCGTAAATTAATAAACTGCGACCGCCATTGTGCCAATTCGCGTAGTTATTTAAAAGTTTAAATACGGCAACCAAAAATGCAGACAAGTAAATAATTAAATTAATTAAATTATTTTATGGAACGATATATTCAAAGTTTCCGCTATGTGCAGTGCTGAAAACTGTAATTTTCACGATTTTAATTAAAGCACCGGTCAGGATAGCGGAAGGGAATACACAGATTATAATTTTAACCAAGTAGGTACTTGGATGTACGAATAGGAATTAATACAGTGTGTTAATGAGCTTACGTCAAATATTTTTGCCACATGGCATGCACATACACATAATTTTAAAATCTGACTTACCTCAACATTGCAAGGAGCCAACTTTTGAAAACTGCCGATTTTCATGGAAGATGTTCGACGTACCCACCATTTACTTGCACACAAGCTTCAGCGCGACGTATTCAATTCGCTCGCACGCACGTTCTCGACGTCATTGCCACGTCCTCTCGAATCGTATGCTTCGGCAATACGATGTCGCAGTTGGTCGATGTCACGAACTTTCGTGGAATACACAACACTTTTCACAAAAAGAAGTCTAAAGGGGCTGCAGCGGCCTATCCAGCGATCGAGAAAAGTGAACGAGGCTCCGTCATGCAGTAACCACATACACTGTGTCCACCTAGTGCGCGTAAGTCCAATATCTAGGTTAATAAAAGATATAACTTATTTTTTTTTCTACATTGTTGCCTACTTTCCTGAGTTGCACAAAATGAAAATATATTTGCATATACAGGGTGTTCAGTTTTTCCTGGGCAGGTGCCAACTTAATTTTTTTTAATGGAAACCTATATTTTTTATGGCATTGTCGAATTCTACGTGAAAAATTAACGGGACTTTGTGTTATGATCCCTATTAAAATATTGATAGTTTTCGAGATAATCGACTTTTAATTTTTTTTTTCTTATGTTTCGTCACTTCTAGTAGTTGACATAATTATGGTTGTATGACAGCTAGAAATTATTTTTTTTTCGGGACCTGTAGAGTGAAGATGGCTCTTTCAAAAAACGTATCAAAAGTTGACCTGCGATGTACAGGGGGCAAAAAAAATCGTGCCAAACCTGACAGTTTAAAATTTGAAAAATTTGGACTTTTTCAAATAGAACACCCTGTGTTTTATGATTTCATTAGATGCTTTTCTGTAGAACCTATAATTTTTTAATAGCTTTCCCTATACCTAAGTTTCGTAGTTTTTGCAAAAAATAAACATTTTTATGTAAAATTCCGGATTTGCGCCCGTTCCTTTGTCGGGAAAAATATTGTACCTAAGAATTTTTTGCAAATACTCGCCGCGATAAAATACATGTATTTCAGCAGTTCCAAAACAGTTTTAAACACATTTTTAATTAGTTTTTTTCTCTATGACCTTAAACTTTCGATACAAGTTTGTGACATTTAGTTACCTCAGTTTTCGCTGATTTTTCACCCCTTTAAATTTTTGGCGTAAGTCCATTAACACCCTGTTTTTATTTTAATCAAATCCGAATTCAAAACGTTCCAAAAATGTTATATTTGCCTAATAACATTTTAAAAACGTTTTGAGAATATAAATTCGCTGTATTTTACGCAGATACAGCAAATATCCATATTAAACTCAAACCGTAACTTCAAGAAGACCCTGAGCGTCAGCAACTCACGTTGGCAACTTAAAAAGCATTCGGTAATGCCCGTAAAACCCATGAGGATAATGAGAATGTCGTGACGGTGGCTACGGTAGCGGCGCAAACGAGGATAGTTTTGAAACGGTTCATTATTGCAGTTCACCGATCTTTCTAAGTAGTTCCGTTGATCCGCCAAACCGACTGCAATTATCTGGCGACCTTCGCCCTTAAAACTACATTTCAAGTTGTTATTGGCATCGAATCACGAAATGGTATTCATTTTATTGGCAAACGACAGTTCGCTGATTGTTAGTAAATTACTGGTTCAATTAGCCCAGTCGAAATGGATCGATTTTTACTTACAGCATGTTCTAAAAAAAAGAACGCCGCTGTATGTTGGTGTTCCTAGAAGTACAGACCATTTATAAAAAAATAAAACCTAACGTTAAACTTATTCAAATGGTTTCCAATGCGACAACACCCCTACTAAACGCAACTGAAGCAATTTATTTGTGTGGTTTTCCCTCTATCGACGCCAACAATTATATTTTTAGCACAATATACCGTTTTAAATTTTAACTGTTCTTTGTAAAAGCTACTTATTGTTGTTTTTAAAAGTATTACTACAAACGATTTCAACCATTATACATTAATACATATTTTTTGGAAAATAGTAATTAAATAAATGGAATAAAATAAATTCTCACTGCAGAAATATGTGCAGGGTAGTTCAGTTACATATAAATTAAGTTTAGGGTGTAAGGATTGATACGGAACAAAATATCATTTAAGAAGTTTATTTTACCTTACCATTCATTTTCTGCAATACTGTGTCATGCGCAATGCAATACAGCCGCTGTATATTCATCATCTTAGTAAAATTAATTTTTTTCTAAAAAATCCCTTTTTCATTCATCTCTAGAAAATTTCTACAAGTTGGCAACACCGCTACGTGGCTGGGATAACGAGGAAGAGTACGAGATTCCAATGAGGCAACTCGGGCAAAGGCACATGTGCTCAGTGTTGCCACAGGTACGATAATTTCAGTAAAATACCTCCCATAAATATGATATTTTTCAAATTCCTACCAAAGTAGCCATATTTTTCTTAATTGAAAGATGACGTGTATATTTTAAACTCGGTAAAAATTATATTTTAAACACTCCTATGCGATTTTACTTTGTTTTATCAAATCGCTAAACTTATATTATTAGAAAAATTAACTATGAAACAAGATTTCATTTTTGAACAGTACTTAAAGATTGTTAAAGTGATTTTTTCTTAATATATGGTCCGAAATTAAGTATTTTCAATCACTAACAACTTTTACTATTAAAACTACGTAAAAATTACTGGTCACTGGTCATTTATTATCCACTGTTCTATTTTTTCTACTCATCTACCAATATTGTACATTTTTATTTTTTATTCTTATTTTTATCCTTAATATTTATTTAAAAGTCTTTAATTTTGTCAAAATTAAAAATTATTAAAACAATCAGATTAAGATTACGTTAAAACACAACAATCTGTTTCACCATCTTAAATTGGCGTATTTTTCACTACATTTTATTGAACAATTACATTATCTCGAGCGTAGACGCAACAATTTGTCATTGTTCGTTGTAAACAATGTTGGTTGCCTGAGCTTGTGTGGCTTCTAATCATTCTAATAATACGCCTACAGAAAAGCAAAGCTTCAACTTCAAATAGCATCCCGGATTTTGGTTTTCTAAACATATGATTTCTAAATTATTTACTTATATCTACGTTTTAAAACAAGTTCTTTACAAAATAAAAATAAAATTGTTGTCGTGTTTGTTACAACACACCTATTTTTTTGTCTACAGTGCTTTGTTAGATTGTAAAAATAATTGTTGCTAATACATTAGCGCTTCTTAAGTCACTATTTTCCCAACCCAGCAACAAACAGCGGACAAGATAATACCTACTATACAGATAAAGAGATCTGGCAACGCTGTCCGTACCTACTTCAACCGTGATGGATTTGATGCGTATGCGCCACCCAATATGGCCGAACACATTCCAATGACTTCCAATGTAGTCGTAGCGACTCGTCCGAGTTCGCCGCATACATCGAGTTTTCCAGTCGTCGGTGAATATTCCCAGTATAAATTCGGTATTCGCGTATTATAAGTTTCTAGTATGGAATGGAGTGATGAACTTAGTTTAAAATTAATAGACTGCTATCGAAGCAATCCTATACTGTGGGACCCGAAAGACAAACATTTTAAATTATCGAAAAAGAAAATGGCCGTCTATGAGGGTATAGCCGATGAGTTTAATTGCGACGTTGCCGAGGTGAAGAAAAAACTGGAGAGTCTGCTAACTTCCTACCGACGAGAGAGACGTCGTGAAGGTACCGCCTGCCCCGGGATGGGATCGGAGGAAGTCTATCACTCGAAATGGTTCGCCTTTAAAGCCATGCAGTTCTTAAACGATAAATTTAGGCCGAGGAAATCGCACAACACTGAAACTGTACTGGTAAGTAACAAATTTATTACCTATAAAAAATGATAGTTGTTTATTTACGAAATTTGATATCACAAATTATATGTACAGGGTGTTTTTTAAGTCTGTATCACTGGTTATTAAAAAAATATCACTTTTTATTCAAATATCTCTTGAGATGTTTGCTCAAATTGACTAAAATCGGGCTAGTGATTAAAGGCAAAAATTCACTGAATTCGCATACAAATGTGTAAGCCAATGGTGGAGATACACTCCAAGTCACACTAAATTTCCTTGAGGCTTCAAAATTTTGGAGTATCTCATGTTATCTACCAATTTAGCAAACTCTTGCCTTTAATTTTACATTTAGGTACGCTTAATGAGTCCCAAGTATGATCCTGACGGATTAGATTGTTACCAACCCTGATGCAATATATGCACGTAGTTTTGAAACTCACCACACTAAAACTTACTCATTTAGTTACAGGAGGAAAATAATTGTTTTGAGGACAACGAAGAAGCACAAAACATTGCACAAAAACAAGAATATACAGACGATGATGAAGATGCACTTGAAGAAGACGATACTACACAGAGTTTAAGTGCTGGGAAAAATAAACGTAGAAAGTTATTCGCCTCGCCTAAACCAGTCTTCAAAATACAAGCTCACGAAGATCCACGCATAGACACCGCACTGGATATACTACAAACTATTAAGGAGAAAAAACAAATCAGAACCGAAAAAAATGAATGTGTCCTTTTTGGTGAATACCTGGCAAGCCAGCTTATGAAGTTTGATGATCACACACGTGCCATTGTTAAACATTCGATAGGAAATATTCTATTCGATGCCGAAATGGGAAGATATCGGAAAGGGCAAGATCTTTTTCCCAACAGAACACCAGTTATGACGTCGACACATTCACCAACGCCTACTGCGGTTTCACCAAGTTACGACCAGCAGGATAACAAGTTCATAATCGGGACTTGGAGTCATAGTGGAGAGATCTTGGAATAAAGGTCCACATGTATGACCTTTGTTATCTCCAACTGTTTTATTTAACTACGACCAACATGATAATAATGAGACAACAGTGGTTTACACCTAATATAATGTAATTTACTATTAAGTACAAAGTATAAATAAATATTAATAAAATTCGTATCGAGTTTTCATCCCATTGTTTTCTATTGTATAGTCTTTCCGAACATGTATAAAAACGCCTAGCAATAAAATTTAATAGGTTTCAGACGTCCCTAAAAAAGTCTGCTATAATAAACCAAAATTACCTGAATCACACCAAATTCCGCACTGCACTGCTTAGCAATTTGTCAACAACAAAAATTTATGGCCCAGTTGCCCAGTGCGGCTGTGTTTGTGCGTCGTTTGCCCGCGCGCGCGCTCTTCAACTGGGCATATCCATTTCTACCACTCCCACGATTATTTTGACCAGACCTGTACATGGGTATGGCTAAATAAATATGGAAACAAGTTTTTCAAATATTTCAATGCCGACTGGCTGCGTAACGACCGAACCTGGTACATCTGCCTAGCTCTTTGGTCTTCAATTGAGATCGGAAAGACTATACTAGCAATACCATGTAATTTTTTTATGCATCTGTCGTAATTACGAAGTTTCATGAGGTATACAGGGTGTTTCTGAAATAAATGGCGTTCTTTGAAAAGGGGAATAGAGGGCACGAAACTGAGCAACTTTTATTATGCAACTGATGGTCGCAACTGAGCGCTAAAGTGGAAAAATGGCACATAACATTTTTTTATGAAGACGATCAGAAAGATTTAGCAAGATTCCCAAAAAGAAGTGGTGCTAGTATTCCATTTTAAAGATTTTACTTAGTTTATCAAATACACAGAAGGATGTAACACGTGGTGTGAATCCGTTCCAAATGTCAACACTACAAGTACTGGTATTGGCACAGATTTGCTGCAGAACTATATGCTGCCTTAGAAACTGGCCTTTGCACAATGCGGAACTCCTTTTTTTCGGTGGAAAATAATTTCCGATTAATTGCCCGAACAATTGTAAAAAGGACCAAAAAGGACATCGGGTTATAACGACGTGAATCCTTTAAACGTCGGAGTTATATTGCTCCTAAAAATAGGCCGGCTAAGGGCCAAACAGGACAATGAAACGACGTTTTCCACGTTAACCTAGAGGGATTGATAGTTATGACAGGCCATTTAATCTTCATAATGAATTCACGTTGTAATTAGGAAGATATCATTTGTCAATAAAAGTTTAGTACGGGAATTTTGCGGAAAAATGTCCTTTATATCCTTTTATTAAGCGTTAATTATAAATAACAAATACGTTTAGCGTGCAGTGGACAAAACAAAATAGCAAATAGTAATAATAAAAGATTCGAAAAGTGTTATAATTTAACTGCAGCAACATCACTTAAACAGAGCAGTCGACGATCGAAATTTTTCGAGTGAGTCGACAACACCCGAAAATCTATGTAGGAAATTTAGCGGAGCCATCGGTGCCTGCGATCAAACGTCGACCGTGGTTAGATGCAATCCTTTATCCACGACAAAGCTTCTGGCATGTAATAAATACGACTCTTCTCAGTCACTAGCATTACCTTGTACGCTGATCATCGCATGTACCTAAACCAAATATTGTGTACGGATTATATCCAATAAAATTTTATACCCAATCCAAACTGTTATAAATTGTCGCGAGCTCAAGCACTGATAAACACTTCTAATACAGTCTCGACCACCTAGTAGAACTTTTAACGTTAATTGCAAAATTTATCCCAACTAAATTAATTAAAATGACTCAATTTATGTAGCAATTGGAAGAACGAATTCATTTACGTAATGAAGAGGATGAAACTTAAATTTAGATATTAAATGTGCATTACATTCCTAGGAATTCGCACAGTCTGCCGCTCTCTAGACACATACAGGAGAGAGGAACCTAGACGATACTTCTTTAAATGAAATATCCATCCTAGTTTTGGGTATAACGATTCTTGACGCCCACCAGTCATTTTCATATACGAAATACGTTCATTGCGGAATAGACAGCCTTGTTAACATCATTGTTGGATGTAATTCTTGTAATCGATTACAGGAGAGTGTGATGTAAAAGACCTCTAGCTGATTGTGCGAGGAATCTGTCTCAAGGCCGATATCTTTGCTCCATATTGCAGCTAGAATACCTTTCCTATTACCTTGCGGCGCCCATAGTTATTATTGGCGCCCACAAATGTGCATAGGTATTACAGTTTTGTCATTTCCGTTTATTTAACTTTGATTCAATCTATCACTCAATAATATCTCTGTGCTATTCAACTCTTTTTCGTTATTTTGCATTAACTGATACAACAAAAGGGAGCAACTGAAAAAAAAATTGAAAAATTCGAAATAAAGGAAAATTTTGAAAAAATAAGAAAATTTAAACTAAGATAATAATAGCACTTGAAAAGTTATATTTTTTTTTCTCATAATGAAGTTCTTAATAATTTAATAAGAAAATAATAATTCCAGACTTTTAAAGTTTAGGTGTCAAGAATATTTAACACAAGAAAATGCATGTTGGAAATTTGACGGAGCCATCATTAGGTGCGATCGAAAGTCAACCCTGGTCAAGTGCAGTTCAATATCCAAGACAAGACGAAGAGAAACAAAGCATTCCTCTTCATCAAAAATGGATATTAATCCAATTCTGAAAATGATAAAAAAGTTTTCCAATCATATACTTAATTCAATCCTACTTAAACTACGAAATACTGATCCAACACTCATTGTACCTTTTCTGTTGTATTTTCCCAGAAGCACTATCAAATATTCCAGATATCCCATATTTTCCGTTGCAAATTTAAAGCCTTGTAAGTTACATCATACTTAGATACAGTCTCATAAAATTTTAAGAAAACGGTGAGAAATCCATAAAATTTCAATACCGTCCTCGTTTCATATTATAAAATGTGCACAAGACGTCGTATAAAATATAAAGAGCCTTTCACGCGAAACTAAAGCGTTTAAATAATTCAGATATATCTGTTTATGTATATTTTAAGGCATGAATATTTAAGGACTAGAATTTTCTAGATGAATAGTGAAGAAACTGCGATGAATATTCAGTAAAATCAAAAGGAACATCAGATATGGTCATTTTAGTTGCTCGTGCCCTTTTTTAATGTTAACACCACATATAGTACAGACGGTATATGTTTCGAAAAGTCCATTGGGGTCAATCGTATATCCACGGAGATTTTTGGCTTTTTGGATTTCAGATATCACTAGAAATGAAGAAATTCGAAAAATTTCATATTTTTCTTCCTATTTAATTATGTATCTTTTCAAGAGTTGATTTTAGGCGAAAACGGAAGAGGAAAAAAATGTTTGTAATTAATTTTTTTACATAATATATGACTAGTTAAAAATGAATGAATCATGATTATTGTAAAAATCGAAAAAATCGCCAAAAATGGGGTTAAAAACTTACTTCTTAGGGGTCTTTCAATTGGGTACAGGACCTTTGTACTTGGCTCAAGAAAACTTCATGTTATGTAGAATCATCACACCAAATTTCATCAAAATCGGTTCTATAGATTTTACATAATAATTTTGCAATCCAGATTTTGAAAAAAAAAATTGCAAATTTTGCACAGCAAAAACCAAGGAAAATTGAAAATTTAATACTGTTTATCAAAGATCAAAAACAAATTTATTTAAATATTCTAAAATTGTTTAAACAACAATTTTTTTTCAAAATATGTCGAAAATTAGTAATATAATGAGTTAATTTCTCATTTGCTTATATTTTAAACAATAAATAATATTTGAATTATACTTTAATCACAAAAGAAATTATGATTAAATTAATAAATTAATTATAAAAAATCAATAATATTTTATTCATACTTAAAAACTTTTAAAACCTGCTTTAAAAAATTAGATTTGATTGAATATTCACAAAGTTATTCTAATTGTTTATAAGTGCAAAAATTCGACCAATGTTTAAACAAGCGCCAGAGATCTCCTAATTGACGTATTCGAATTTTTCAAAAAGCATTTGAAAGCTTGACAGCCCTTCTATATGTAATTAGTTTTCAAGTATCTAAGGACCTTGGTTTTTGCTGTGCAAAATTTTGAAAATTTGCAAATTTTTTCCAAATCTGGATTGCAAAATTTTATGCAAAATCTATACAACCGATTTTGATGAAATTTGGTGTGATGATTCTACATAACATGAAGTTTTCTTGAGCCAAGGATGAAGGTCCTCTACCCAATTTAAAAACCTCAAAAATATTACTTCAAAAATAAGTAATTTTACAGTAATAATCATGATTCATTCGATTTGTAACTAGTCATATTTTATAAAAAATTTAATTACAAACATTGTTTTCCTCTTCTATTTTCGCCTAAAATCAGCACTTGAAAAGATATATAATTAAATAGGAAGAAAAATATGACATTTTTAAAATTTTTTTAACATATTGTGCCGCCAAAAGTTAAGCCCTCTTTTTTTATGCCCATAGAAAAATTTTCATTTCTAGTGATATTTAAAAGCCAAAAAGCAAAAAATTTCCGTGAATATACGATTGACCCAAACCAAAACAGATACCGCCTAGTCTAATAGAGAACATGATACTCGGAAAATTGTATAAATATTTTCATAGAATTCCACGAAAAAAAACCTTTATTGCAATGAAATTTAATCATACTATTGTCCTATTGAATTCTACAGTTTATATCTACCTCCACAGATATTCCTTTGTAGTAAAAAGTAGTATTATACAGGGTGATTCACAAATGGTGCCCAAAAATGGAACCTCGTATTCTTTGGTGAATTTTAAAGATTTTATCTAGGACGCTTCGTTAAAAAGATACAAGGAGTTAAACTTAAAAAAATATTTTTAATTTTTTTAAATATTTAAAAAATTAGTAAGTGGAATAAGTACATGTATTTATGTAAACATTTTAAGTTTAACACCCTGTATCTTTTTAACGAAGCTTCCTAGATAAAAACTTTATAGAAATGAACCCTTAAAATTCACCAAAGAATACGAGGATCCAATTTTGGTC